AACTGAACTGGCAAGAGACGTTAACTTAGTTATTAGGAAATTGTCTTTCAAGAAGTATAATAATTTTGTACGGCATGAGAGGGATACACAGGAGTTGATTTTACAACACTACATTTTATAGACACCTTTTCAAAAGGAAGAAATCTATTTCATAACTAATAGCAATCTATTCTTAACAATCGTATTTCACTTTGAACTCTTCCCACAGCTTTGAAAATTTTGTATTTGTAATTTTGATCATGATGTTGGAAGTCTGTAAAAAAGAAAAATGTCTAATACATCCTATTATCCCAAAACTTAGCATGAATTTACACTCCAGTGCTCAGTAAATGTTTGGTTTACTAGTGAGTAAATATTGTAGATAGCAGTGGATACAACAGTAAGGGTTGGGGATAAGTAAAACCAGTAATTCACTGTTTATTATAGAACACAGCTTTTCTTTGGCATTTTTGCACAAATAACTTTACACTCACTTGGGCCACTTTTTTTTCAAGTAGCCCAGTGAGCTGCTTGTCAATACAGAAACAGTAGGAGTACGTACAGAGATGTTATCCATTTTGCATGTTGTTGGACCAGACTTTGGCAGAACTGGGACTGGAACCTGAGTCACTTGAATTTTTATATTTTGTATAGCCAAGTGAGAAAAAACATTGTCTCCTTTGTTTTTATAGAAAGTTGCCATATTCATATTACTTTAAGGACCTGTGTATAACATGTCTTCTATTTCATTTGTCCCAGATGTATTATCCAAAACTTTGTATATCTTGAAGGTGCTTCTATAAAAACACTACATTTAATAAGTGATTTAAATATTCCTAGGAACTAGTTATCCTTTTTCTTCTCTAAATACTAAATATACTTCTCTATATCGCTTTTCATTGCTGCTGCCACTGTAAAACTTCCCCTGTTTACTTGTGAAACTAAAGCTTTATTTTGAATTTTAGTATTAGAATCTGGTTTATATAGCACACATCATGCATCGGTTAGGCTCCGTGAAGATTCCATTTTGAACGAGATGTATCCCTGCCAAGGGTTTGCTTAGTAATCCCACTGCTTCCTCTAACAGCTAATTCACTGATAATTTACTGATATTCCCAGTGGTATTTTGCCCCAGCATTTGTGAGTTTGATCAATAAACAGGATGGGCCTTTTATTCTAGAAATACTGTAAATGAAAATTTGCCAAATCCCTTATTAGTATATTCTTAACATGGCCACAACACTTTACCTCCCTGTCTTTCATGGTTTCTAAACATATGGCCAAGTTTGAATTTGGGTTTGATTCCTTTGGTGAAGATTGGCATCAAAACATTTCTAAACAAATGTATGAGTACAAAGCTAGGTTGGAATGTCATTTTAAAGACTGTGTTATAATTTGGTTTGCATATGCTAAAGTGAGTGATCATGATATTTGCTTAAGTACAACAAATCAGTAATGTATACTTCACTTTTTGCTACTTGAAGACGTTCTTGTAGTTTGTTTAACCTCAAATGTACTTAAAAAAAAACACCAAACAATTGTATCAAAATTCTTCCAATAAATTTTCTGTTTAAAAATCTTTACCTGAAGTGTGTCTGTCAGTTTGATGAACCCAAAAGAACATTGTGAATCTTAGTGGAATACATTCTAGAGGACTTCAGGAATGAACGGGAAAGAGGCACGATTCTGAGGGCTAGGAAATGGCAAAACCCGCCGGAGAGCGGAGACCCCGGGGGACTTGGAGGTGTTTTAAGTTTGGAAAGGCCTCCAGGTGCTCTTTATCCATTTTGCCTCATAACCACGTCCCAGGATTCGTTTCCAGATATTTCCATTAACCCTAAATTATTGTTCTCTAACCTCATTCTCTGTGGATGATCTCAGCTTCTAGGAAATGAAGACCAAAAGCATCTGACATGAGCCTCCATTATCCTTCAGGTTTTTTCCCCTCTGAATCAGAAGCAATTCTTTTTTGAAGTAAGTTTTCCACAAAGCCCCAGATCCCACTCATCCCACCTCCTCAAACATATTCTTTTCAAAGCAGCCTCTTTGGTATTCATCTCTGCCACACCATAGCTTTGATTTCTGTGTCCACTGTCACCTATCTGATATGTGGTCCGCCTGGGCTGCTTCCACTTACTTTGTAACCACTTCCATAGCTCCCAGTAATGTGGCTTCACTGCTCCCTATTTTGTAATCAAAGGCCATTGGTGGCTTACTTCTTGTCACATCCATGGCAGAACTGCATCTCAAATTCAACAGAGAAAAAAATAACATTTCTCTTTCCCACTCAAATCTCTTCTCAACTCAGAATTCCATACAGAATCCTTGGAAATCTAAACATTGCCTTTGCCACCTCCATTTCCTGAGTCCCCTATCACTAAGTCCGTCTCTGCATTCCTCTGAAATCCTCTGAAATCTGTTACATTCACCTTCGTATCCCCACCGTCCTATTCCAGCAGTACTTCCTTGACTGCATGCAGTCACAGAGGCGCTGTCTGGCTTCCCATCCATTCCATGCCCGGCTTTAGCCACCCCCGCTTCAGGTCCCCCCACCCCCCGCAGTAATTCTGGCCTCCGCAGGAAGTACCAGAAATTTCTGCTGAATCAGACGTTTGCCTGGCCCTTTTAAAAACATTTCCGCTACCCTGGCTTCCTGATTACCTTCTGGTGGTCCATCTGCATACTGGACTTTGACCTGCCCCATCTACAGTACCTGCCAGGGACTCCCTGCCTTTCCTGTGCTCTCTGGAATCCGCCTCTGACCTAATGAAGTCTACAGTGGCCTATCAACACCCGCGCAGAGCAGCCTCTTCTGTTCACATACAGGTTTAGGCAAGTTCTTTACTCCAATATTTCACTATCCAATCTAGCTAGAGTTTTTGCTTCCTTCCCCCCAGAAACTTCCATGTGTTATACTCAAAAAGTCTACTTTCAGTCCTCCAGCTCAGGAATCTTGAGTGTCCCCTAAACGCTCATCAAAGACAAATGATTCCTCTGAACAACTTTAGAAACTCGCAATGCTTTTCCTTGCCTCCTTAGTCAATCTCATTACCCACGATGTGGCAATAAGCAAACTTTTCATTATTCTAGACCAGAGAAATAGCAAAGTCAGGGAGAAGCACGCAGGACCAAAACAGATGTGGATACAATGACAGCAATTTCGCACCTCTCATTCTGTACAGAAAAAAGAGAAAACAGCACTTTAATGGGACTGCAACACACTCAAACAACCCGTCAGCTCATCCAGCTCTACTTCCAGGCTTTAAAAAAAAAAAAATCTACCATGAAGTTCAGGCTTAACACATGCTACCGACATGTAAATGAACGATTCAATGTTGCCTGACAAATTCTTGTAACCAAGAGGTATAATAACGATAGCAGTAAGATAATACTCAATGTATCGAGGCTGGCATCGTTTAGGCCATCAAAAGGGAGCTGTCCTCTGTCAGCCACTGCTAAAGCCAAAGTGTTTGTATTGTTATTAAAAACAAAATACAAAAATAAAAGCATTCCTCAAAGTATTTCCTGAATCTAGGCACATAATGGTATTTTAAAACGGTATAAGTAAACACAAAATTCAGATTCGCATCTAAGCACAGGTACAGTTAAACCTACCATTTGGTTTGGACTTTTGAAAATATTGTAACCAGTTCTAAAATTATAAATAAAAAAAGGTCTGATTAGCCATCACTGTTTTCCACCCTGGGCATTAAGTTAGATCAGACTGTTATTCTACTTTACAATACAAAGTTGCTACATTTATAGTTACATTAGTTGGAGCCAACACTTCCAATGGCTTCCAAAGACTTCCCCAGGCAATGCCGTCCTGGTGGCCAGCAGTTCTGGAAACCCACAAGAGCTACAACTGAGAGAGGAGCACTGTTCTGCTTGGGAAGTCGTGATTGCAAAGAGCTAATTACCCATGGTTTTTAAACTCTGTCCCCTCTCCACGGGTCAGGATGTAGGCCCAATGAGGAAGGTAGGAGACACAGCACAAAGTACACATTTGTGGCCAGAGGACCAAGAAGAGACAAAGGAACCAGACGTACTGAGATTATGGAGCGGGTGCAGCTCAGAAAAGCAGCCTCGTATTGTTTATGAACCCCAAGGATCAGCCTCATCACTGATGCTTGGATCTCATCCTACTTAGCATACTGAAAGAATATTTCCCTTTCACCGCAGGGCACACTCACGCACGCACACACTCACTCCTACCGGGGCATGGAGACATGCCGGTGAACCTCACCTGCACATCTCTGGGATGTGGGAGGAAATCGAGGACCCGGAGAAAACCCATGCAGACATGGGGAGAAGGTGTCAACTCCACACTATGGCCTCAGCTGTGAATTGAGTTTTTCTTCTCACCAACATTATAACAAAACATTATTCAAGGACCTACTCTACATATACGTTGCTTGATATTGCTCACATGGCACTGAGGCTCTGTGCTTTTTTCTTCCCTCCATTCTTTTTTTCTTCATTCCTCAGGATAATTTCTATTCATCTGTCATCTGCACTCTGCTTGCTGTTAAGTCCAACCATTTGAGTTTTTTGGTTGGTTGGTTGGTATTCATTTCTCTTCTGAGAGCACCCATCTTCATTCATTTCAACAACCTTTCCTTTTCATCCTGATTATAGTTCTAATAGCTGCTTTAAAATCCCTATTAATCCCAGTAGCTGGGTTATGCTAGGATCTTTCTACTGTGTGTGTGTGTGTGTGTGTGTGTGTGTGTGTGTGTTTTAAAGCATCTTTTCCTGTTTCTCTGCATGCCTCATAATATATTCTAGTCTAGTTGTTAAAGAGACCCATTTTGTTATCATGGTCTGACAAATGTTAAGCTTTAACAGGCAGTTAAATTATTGGCTGATCGTCTTGGTTTTTATGGAGGCTTGATTTTACGTTAAAGGTCTTGTCCTTAGTTTTAGCACAAACCCTTAGTCAGGGCATAATGTTTACTACTAATACATGGCCATTCTAGGGATTTGATGCAAAGTCTAAGGTGCTTATCAAGCCTTCTAACTTGTCAGAATTCAAACTCGAAACGCTGACTTCTTGCAATATAGAGCACCAGACTCTGCTCAGCTTTTCTACTGTTTCGGCCGTGCCTTTCCACTAGGTGCCCTGCAGTCTTCTCTGCACGTGCACAGTTCAGGAGTTAGCCAAAGAGTTAAGAGGAAATTACATAGATTGAAAGCCTCCTCCCTCAGTGCCACCCTCATTTCTGGGATTTCCGCCTTCAATTTACAGCCTCTCTAGCAGTCCCTACCTCCTCTGCTACCTGAGCCAGTAAGACTGCATGTCCTGTTGCCTTCCAGCTGCCCTTCACCAGGACGACTGGGGATGCCCTGAGGGGAAAGCCACGTACGAACGGGTCTCAGCCTGCTTTTGGTCACTCCCCAGTGCCTTTACACAGCGATGGTATTTTGTCCAAAGTTCATAACTGAGAGCGTTTGTACATTATAAGCTATTCCACCATTACCAAAACCAGAAGTCCTTCATTTTGTAATTTTTAAAAGTTTGGTTTAACACCTCAGGAGAAAACAATACAGCACTGGTACTTAAATGTCCTTACCTCTCTCCTCTTTGTGTCCGATAGATACAAAATGGAATGTTTCATATATATTAAAAAATCTCTTATCTCAAATGAAATAAGTAAAAAATAATCTCTTGCTAACTGATGCTCCCAGCAAGTAGAGAAGTATCTGTTCAATTTCCAACAACTTTACTGAGCAAAAGGGTCAGATAAGTTGATCATGCTATGGAAACACTCAGAGTTAGACCAACTAAACTAGTGGGTAACAAAGCTATTTCTGTTATGAACAAAAAGTATAAAACTCTGTGGTCATGAAACAGAATAAATGCAGTGTTATTTACGAGTAAGAAAAATGTCACTACTTTCATCCATATATAGTGGCATATTAACTGAGTTAAGTGATATGACGAATCTTGACTAATCCATTATTGTCTTCAAACTTAAATTTTGTTCATCTTTATTTTGTAGTCAGAAAGTTTTCCAGTTGTCAGCTAGGATGTGAAAGTTGCTATTTAAAACCAAAGAGCAACTGTACATGGTTGGCTGAACATTTATAATTCAATAATTATATAACCTCCAAAATACAGAATATGAGTTACATAATTAGGATGTCAGCTAAATAAGACAAGGCAATTCGGAATGATGTCATTTTGTGGCATGTGCTCGGATGAGCTTTAAGCAAGTAGGACTTACTCTTCCCACCTCTGTTTACACGCACTCATACCAACTGCTGTCAGGACAACACAGTCAGGACAGCTGACATTTTAAGAAGGAAGAAAGTTCCACCTTGTGTAGTCTGGGTTCATAAGGCAAAACTGCTTTTAAACGACTCTGTTTATGGTTGTCTATCTACAAGTTTCCAGTTTGGTTGGCTCCATGTGTATACATCCTGAAAAACTGCCAAATACCAGCAACAACCGATGATATAAGAGGGAAAAAACTCATTGCCTCAGGAAACCAAACATTATTGAGTCAACATCTTTCTTTTTAGTCACCTGTTCGATACTTATTAGGTAAACCAAAGACCTGTTCAATTTGTTATACAAATGTGTATATAACAAATTGACTGAAATTAACATCCAAAATAGAAAATGTCCATGTTCAGAGTCCATCAATGCTTTGGGATTCTGAGCTGGTTTCTGGTATAGAGAACAGACTTAGCATCTCCATCTCCAGTGGATGCAGGCTGCCTCCTGTGATGATTAAGGAATGTAGTGGCCCTCCCAAGTCCACAGTACACATCTGCTGCAAAGTGCCGGCAGCGATTTTCTGGTCCTCAGCTCCAACCCTGGCCAAGCCAACACAGAGTGTCTCCTCGGTGACTGCTGTTTAATAAAAAAACGATACCACCCACCATTCAGTTCAACAAATGTATTAACCTATCCAACGTTAAAACTAACATCAGTACCAAAAGTACATGAAAGATGCCCCCCAAATCTTAAATCTCCTTAGTCACGAATGATGGACAATTATCTTATCTAAGGCTTTTCTAAATCATTTGTACTACCTGACAAATAAAGTACAATAGTACCTGTACTTCCCAATTTTACTGGTTCAGAATACAAAGTCTTACCTTAGTTTAAGTTTTTAGGATTTAATAAACAATTACCTATATCCATATGCTTTACAATTGCATAGCATTTGTGTTAAATAGATTCTAGTGAACAACGTTTATTACATGCTTATATTTTAATAAGTTACTTGAGATATGTTCACATTGACCAAGAAATACTAGAAAAATTTGGGATGCGATAAATACATAAATTTGAGTTTATGCTTAGCCAGCTAATTAGCTATGTGACAAACTCCAGTTTTTTTTCATATTTTTAAAAATGGAATACTATCTCTCATAGTTATAGGACTACGATAATAGATATGAACATTATTTAGTGAACTACAGAGCCCTTAACAAATAATGGACATTATGGCATTACTCTAAAGTTCAAAATAACCAACATTAGGGAACTTTAGTATTAGTCACTCTTTTGCAACAGCTGAAGGGCTGGCTCTTTCATGGTTTTGCTGTTTAGTTGGGAAAGCTGTCCTGATTGAACAATGATCAAAATGGGGCAAATTATTTACACGAGGACAAGCAAGCGTGTGAGGAACTCTGAACAAGGGTGTGGATATAGAACACCCTTGTAGATTATTTGTTTTGTGACTTTAACAAAGCTTTCTAATGAGAATAAAATAAGCAATGGCCACTCAAGAATCTCTTTATATACCCTTTCTATCAGGAGATAGGCACTCAAAGGAAGTCAGCACCTTGTAACAGAATATAATGACACGTTCATTCAAGAACCTCTTCATAAAGGTTTACTGACAATCGACCGTGTATTACATACTACGCACTGTGTCTAGATATTATGAACATAAGGATAAATTCTCTTGTCTTCATCCTGGACAAAACTATCTCTGATTCAGTGTTGAGAATGAGAAAAAGCAGAATAAACATATTTTTGCAGGACAAATCTCATTATAGAGTTCTGCATTTTATCAAAATATTTATACAGGAATGTATTTACTTCAGATCGACTCTTGCCTCAGTGGTGATGGCGTATCTGCGTGCCAGATGCTCTAGCATACACACATCTCCATGCAGCACTAGGGGAGTATCAGAGCCCTGTTAGGTCTCGAGTACCTGGGTCTTCTCCTCGTGTTCTCTGATTCTGAACAACCTCCAGAAGCTGCTGGGCTGCTTGGTTTACACTCATATACCGAGGAGGTTCGTAGATCTTCCTTCCCCTGTAAGAATAACACGAGGCGCCATTGTTCGTAGCTACGAAATTACATGAGACATCCTTAACCGAAGTACTTCCCCAGGTGCACTCAAGTACCACGTCCACATTCTGTCTGAAGCCTGCACATGATGCCTCCCTTAATCATACACTAAAGCACGGGTACAGTGATTGTTTATCTGAAGTTTCTTAAGCTTTTTTCATTGTTCTACTTCAACTGCCCTCTGATCTCAGTGAAATGTTGGCAGAAATAAAAGTCCAACAACTTAAAGATAAATGTCTAAATCAAAGCTACCTTTATTCAAAGAGACGCCTTAGGCAAAAACAATTCAAAATAAGTGGAAACTTGTTCTATAACCTAGCTTAATCAGGTTCTATGTTCACATTCATTGCCATGTTTAAACCACATATTCCACTTTTCACTTCTTCCTCTAAGAATGTAAAGGGGTAAATATCTGAAAATCTTGGAGGTTAAGATAGTTTACGTCTGTATGACTCAAAAACCTACCATGTTTGCGCAATGATCATAATAATACATAGCATTTGCAACTTATAAAACAGTTCATATAGATTATTTTACTGACTCTCAAAACAATTCTGAGTCAGCACTGTCCAAAAGAAATATAATTTTAAATTTTCTAGTATCCACATTAACAAATATTTCAAAAGAGCAAAATAAATTTTAGTATTTTATTTAACCCAGTATATCCAAAATATTGTATTTCAACATTTACTCCTATTGAAATTATTAGAGATTGTTTTTGCATGAGGTCTTTGAAGTCTGGTATTTTATGCTTACAGCACATCTTGATTCAAATGTTAAATTTTCATTGGAAATATTCATTCTTGACCTGTATTTAGATTTCATAAAATTCATGGCTGTACAAGTAGATTTACATGTTGAAGTTGTTCTAAATATACTTCAAAGTCTTCCAACAACTAAGTTGAGTATTAGTTTTAAATTAATTATAATTTATAATTATAAATTCAGTTCCAGTTACAAGAGCCATATTTCAAGTGTTCATTAGTCGTCACATGTGGGTAGTAGCTACTGTATCAGACATTGCCTAAGCAGAAAAGGATTATTACTTTCATTATTCATGTGAGAAAAATAAGGCTTAGAAATGGAAGTAACTTGCCTAAGAGCACATCACCAGCGATAGACTCAGGACTCAGACTCATGTCTACTGATTCCCAATTCGTTAATTCACTCCACAGATATTTACAGAGTGCCTATTAGGTGCCAACCACCTTTCTCAGTAATGAATCCATAAAACCTATCGCTGTTTCCACTCTATCACACAGCTTATCATTTCATAAAAGTTTGATTTTTAACTGTTAATGAAAGCTGATTTTCAACAATCTTTAAAACTCATGTCATTTAAGTAGAATTTACTGAATTGTTCAAGGAATTAAAATAGATGTAAGCATTCTCAGAATAAGACTTACTTGATGAGATTTTCCAAAGACTGCTCCTTTACTTTGATGTCTGCAGGAAGTGAAAAACAGTTTCCTTTTAATTTAATAAATTACTTTATCCAAAATCCTATGTAAACCTAAGTTTTGGGGAAACATCCTTTTCAAGTCTCCAAAATGCTCATTTGAGAGTTTGTGACAATTTTCCCTCATACTTGAATATAGCCACTTTTACTGGAAATACAGAGAAGAATGGAAGCTTGTGGTTGTGTAAAGGTAATTAGTTAGAAAACAAACATGAGGTTGGCCCTGAGACCATCCTGAAAGAATCCAATTTCCTCTTAGAAAAGAAGACACAGGAAGGAGTTAGATAAATACTGGCATCTACAGTACCTAACAGCTAATCAACATCTTTGTGTTCGTTTCTACTAGCTGGTAACTAACTGCACAGACCCAAATGAAAAGTTTTGTTATGTTCCTACCCGGAATTATTTTTCAGGCACTAGAATGTACGTTTCCATGCATGTAACATCAATACAAGAAAATTCTTCTGACATTTTGAAGAGACTTTTGTTTTCTGAAGAATGGTAAGACGTACACCAATAGCTTATTAATAAACACTTTCATACCAAACAGTCATATTTTAACAGCGCTTTCCCGAGCCCTGACGCCAGCTACGGAGATATCACAGGGGCTAGAACGCACGTAATACACTCTCATGAAGCCCGACACTCCAAGCGTCAGCAATATTTCACACTTGAATCACTGATGCTCAGCTGAACTATTTGGTAAAAGGTAAGAAAGCAGAATCACTGGACATCCTCAGAAGACTTCAGTATACAACAGCAACAGCTGCTTCCTGTTTCACAGGCGGAAAACAAACGGTTCAGCCAAAGTTTGTTTTTGCAAAAATAAATATAGTGCAACTGAGGGGGTCTTTGTGATCGACTTCTACAGCTTTCCTAAGTGAGTTATAAGTTCTTCTTATAAAGGATACTAAAGAGTTTGCCTGGAAAATATAGCAGAAATTAATCCCCTATATGTATTTCTGCTGTTCCTGGAACCAGCAGTGAAAGTATTTTTCTGGTTTGAAATATCATTATTTAATATTTCCACTTCTCTGGCTATATAGGGAAAAATGCATATCTGTTATTGAAAATGTGGCCTCCAACACAATTAGTGTTATAAATAAACTGAGATTCTTTTAAATGGTATTTTAAGATTTTTAAAAGTTCAACACATTTAATTCATTCACCTTGAGCTTCTGAAATGTTATTTGTGATAGTAAAGTTTATAATTTAATATTTTCCATTTTTTAGCTTTTTAAATCATATGCTCTACAGGATTATATTTTAAAAATGAAGAGGACTGGAGTATTTTTCCAGGTAAATGCTTTGTAATCAAACATAAGTGAATGAATCTCAAGCCAGACCAGTCTTAATATTTTTTTCCTCGTCTTCACACAGGCCATAATTATTCCTCTCTATTTCTGCTTGTTAGAATTAAGCTTAAGCTTCTCTTATTCATCTTAGAGCCAGGACCTAGCATAATGCAAAGTACCCAGTAGATACTCCATAAATACCTACTGAACAAATCTGCTCACATGGCTCCACCACCCACCCACCAGCCAATCTTAAACTATCCAGCCCCTAAGTAGCAGAAGTCCCAACTTCTTCATAAAGCCTTTCACTTCCCCTCAAATGCATTTTGTTCTTTGAAATATCTATACAATGTTACATTTCATTAACCTCTAATTACATCATATATATCAGTCTTATCTTACCAGGTAAAACTCTCTATGGTTTCCTACCATGGTATATTCTCACTAATCACTACAGGGCTTGGCCCATAGTAGGCACTCAATAAATATGTATTAATTTAAATGATGAGAATTCCAGATGACTAAATGATGAGATCTATGGTTTGAGGATTTGGAATCATGGTATCTTATATTTCACACCTTGTTCCTGCTTTTGTTAATGGAGCAAGAAAGATATATTGTTTAACTTTGTTTGTCTTTTCCCAGGAAAGCCAAGAAAAGAGGCAGCTCTTAGAGAGTTCAAGAGCCAAAATTCTGGTTTGTCCTTCCTGCTTCTCCATACAATAGAACTTAATTGTTGTTCAAACTTTCATGTGCACAGTATGTTAGTTCCAACTAAATTTTAAAACCCTGAGGGCAAGGGTCCATGTCTAATACTTGCTTACTATTCCAAAAGCACCTAACTCCACATTGGGTATAAACAAGAAATACTTGTAAACTGATTTTCTAACTGCCTTTCCAAAGCTTCCCAAAAAGTAAATGCTACTTTCCTTCCTTCCCTCCATTTTTTATGGATATATAGATAAGTTATCATGTACACTGCCTTTTAAGACTTTTCTCTCCCTGTTCTGTTTAAAACCTCTCAGTTCTGTTGTAAAACTCTCTCTCTCTCCTCTCTCTCTCCTCTCTTCTCTTCTCTCTTTCTGTCTCTCTCATCTAAGCTCCAATGAGTCCCAGTTTTTTAATCTCTCAGTTGCATATACTTGAACTTCAAAAAAGTTAAGACTCGCCTCTTTCTACATGGAAAAATCCAAAGACAAAACTATAAAGCTAACTAATAATGAAGTTCTAAATTGCACCGACAATAAACTAAAATAAGAAAACATAGCATTCCAGTTAATTGTGGGATAGAGGCACAAGCCAAAAAAAAGTTAGAGATGCATTCATGGCCTGATCTAGAGCTAGAATTAATTAGGTGTCAATGTGAATGGAATAAAAGGAATGTGTTCTGGCTGGAACTGAATGAACTAGCAAGAGTTAAAGATTTTCTGTGTCAAAGGCTAACAAGACCAAGTCCGAGAAAATAAACTAAAAAAAAACTCCAACCAATTAACTTCCATAAATATTTATTGAGCAGCTACACTGTGCCAGAACTCTAAACATTAGGAAGAAAACAGTGGGCGAGACAAAGTCCCAGCAGGGAAGACAATTTTAAAAATAAAACAAGGTAATGGGAAAGAAAATCAACAGGGGATACAGGGTATATGAACTGACAATTAAGTTCGAGAACTTGTTGCAACAATGTTGCTAACCTTTTTTGATATCAGAGGGATTATTCATTATGAATTTGGACCAACTGGACAAACAACCAAGTTTACTATTTAGAAGTGCTAAAAGGCTGTGTGAAAAAGTTATAAGAAAACGACCTGAACTTTTCGCCAGGAATTCATGGCTCTTGCATCACGACAATGCACCAGCTCACATGGCACTGTCTGTGAGGGAGTTTTTAGCCAGTGAACAAATAACTGTATTGGAACTCCCTCCCTACTCACCTGATCTGGCTCCCAATGACTTTTTTATTGGGGAACAGCCATGGTCATTGGTTACACATTGCTTTCATGCACAATGGCATAGTTGACTCTTTTAAGGAGGGGGCAGCTCACAGTGACCCATGAGGGGATCCAACCTGCAACTTTGGTGTTAGCAGCACCACACTCTAACCAACTGAGCTAACTGGTCACCCCAATGACTCCTTTCTTTTCCCGAGGATAAAGGAAATATTGAAAGAAAGACATTTTAATGACATCAGGGGTAATACGACGACAGCTCTGATGGCCATTCCAGAAAAAGAGTTCCAAAATTGCTTTGAAGGGTGGACTAGGCACTAGTGTTGGTGCATAGCTTCCCAAGGGGAGTACTTGGAAGGTGACCATAGTGATATTCAGCAATGAGGTATGTAGCACTTTTTCTAGGATGAGTTCACGAACTTAATTGTCACCCCTCATATACCACATTAGATTAGGTAAAACTTCACTTTAAATAAGGAGTCGCCAAATTTCTTCCATAAAGGGCCAGGTAATAAATATTTTATGTTCTGAGGACCATAGGTTTCTGTCACAACTATTTATTGCTGCCATTGTGGCATGAAAGTACCCACAGATGATACATAAGTGAAGTAACATGGCTGTGTTCCAATTAAACTTTGTTTACAAAACAGGCAGTAGGCAGGACTTGATCCATGGGCACTAGCTTGCTAACCTCTGCTCTAGATATTAATGTCTCATTTCTACTCCATAAGAAACACCAATCATTAGTAAAACTTTCCTATCTTTTTGTATTAAAAGAGAGATATTGATTGGAGTCCTGATCATATGCCAATGATATGTGTTTGAATAACAGAATTGGCTATATTACACAAATAACCTAAACATTTTTGGCAAATAGCAATCTTTTCTAATGTTCTGAATATCTGTACTTACTATAGAGGTCAAAATCACAGGTTTACCCTCTGCCCTGATCCTGTGCTGTGCGGCAGGTATTCTGGATGACTCCACACAGTGTCACTACAACAATGCAATTCAATGTACGGCCCGAGCACAGATGCCAGTACGTGAGCACTTTGCTACCAGTGAATGATGGAGTAACTACAGTAGTGACAGTGAGTATTTTTTACATTTCTAATCTTACTCATCTAAAACAGATTGTTATATATGAAAACAAACACATATAAAAAGACCACCACCTGGTCCTTCACCCCAAATAGTTTATGAGGTACCGCTCTGGGCTCCATGAGGCAAGGAGGGAGTGCTCCTATTTGATAAAAATAAAGGCACAGGTCGGGAATGTTCACAACATTCTCTAGTCACTAAGTAGAAGCACTCGGATTTGCTTTCTGAAAACATAAGTATTGTTTCAAAGGTATCAAGGATGCCACTAAGCTCTGTTCTGTTCCTCAGTCATAGATTAAAGCTTTGATAGCAGTATTTTTACAACCTCCATGGGTAAAATAGAGACTGAAGGTAAATGTGAGCCAGTATAATTCCAGTGCGTCTGCTGGATAACGCAGCCCGTGTCCTCATGATGCTCTTTCAGTACCATCACTGCAGTCTACAAAGACAGCGGTTCAGCTCTTTCCACACGAGGTAGCAAACAGAATTGGGAAGCATGATACAGGGAGAAGAGCTGTGAAAAGCAGGCTGTCTGGATTCTACCAATTCTGCCACCAACAAGCTGGGTGACAGTGGGAAAAATGATTCAATATCTCTAGGCCTCAAATTCATCTATAAAACAGGCTTCCATAAGGTGGTCTCTAGAGTCTCTTTCAGATCTATAAGTATGTAATTCTGAGAGCATCAATACTACAGCATTCAAAGAACTTCTCCAGGAAGACACAGGATGGAACTTGGTAAGAATAAATGCTCGATACAAGTCTGCTGAATTGCAGTAAATGGACCAGACCAGGGTCTTGGTGGACAAATGTGTAAGGCATGGAGTGCTGGGAAGACGTGCAAGGGCATAAGAAGGGAGCAGCATGAACTATGGCACATATGCAGGGATAGCCATGTGGTAATTAGAGCAGAAAACGTATGTCTCCCTGAGAGAATGGGACGGAGTGGGGCGTGCAGAGCGGCCAGGCTGCATCCTTTCTTACCTCTAGCTAGTTGCCCACAGAGTGGTTTCACTTGAACACAAAATCAAATTGGGAACAATCTGACAAGTCCATATTGAGAGTTTCAGGCAACTCCTAAGCCCTTACCTAATAAGCATAAGGTGTGCATGTCATTTTGTCTATTCTTCTTCACTTTGTCAAAGAAGCTTTCTGGTCGCCAAGTGTCTGTCCAAAAAACAATAGAAACTGTCTCTCCAAACTTATACAGCTAGAAAAAATAAAAACGTTAATTAATGATGGCGCAATTCACTAACTACTATTTCATAGATAATAACCAAAATAAAAAGTGAGAAGCAGACTTGAGATGGGTTAGGGATCCAATCTGTAACCAAAAAAAAGCAATAAAAGTTCTCTCTGTCCCACAGCAGCGGGTGTCTCTCTGATGCGCTTTCAGTAGTAGCCTCCCAGTATTTCTGCATTCAGTATAGGAACATATGTAACCAGTTCATAATTTAGCTATGCAGCCTAAAAATACTGAAATACAAAGAACCCAGTAGGAAGCCAAAAAAAAACCACCTTCTGAGCAGTCAGAGCAGGGCTCGCAAAGTTAATATATTATTATCCTTACTTAACAGATGAGACCACCAATGCTCAGAAAGATCAACTGACCTGAGGTCACACAGGTAACTAGGAATGAAAAAGAAACTCAAACTGCGGTCCGAGAAGTGCTCCTTGACACCATGCTACCTCAGTAAAATTCACACATGGTATACTCACTCCGCCATTTCTTAAAAACTCCCCCTACTTTACCCACCGCTTGTTCCCTTGCTAGAGTCCAAGGATAGGGACCTTTTCTCAAACCTGCTCCTTTCCCCCCAAGTGGCCCACCCACCCCATCTGACCAGCACACAACCAAGAAGCCTGCTTGGTTCCAGTTGGCTTCCAGGCTGGCTGTACAGTTCATTGAGGTTAAGTCCAGGCTTCAAATCTTATGCTGAGAAAGTCTTAGTTTTGAATTCTGGTTCTACAACTTGTTAGCGGTGTGACAATACTCTGAGTCTTTATCTCTACAACAGGAATAGTGATAACATGCTGTCTTTCCTACCCATAGGGCTGTGAGGATCAAATAACATGTAAAGTGTTTCAAACTGTGAAGGGATATGTTAATATTAGTTTTTGTTTGTTTTTTTTTTTTTAAGATTTTTTTGGGGGGAATTGGGGAAGGGAAACTGTGTTGGGGAATTGGGGAAGGGGAACAGCCAAGTTGTTGTCCTTCAGTCTTAGTTGTGGAGGGCACAGCAAGCTCAGCTCCAAGTCCAGTTGCCACCCGGCTGCGCGGCAGCAGCTCATGGCCACTCAGCTCAAGGTGCCGTGTTCAACCTTAGTTGTGGGTGGACGTAGCCACCATCCCATGCGGGAGTCTAACTGTAAACCTTGTTGCTAAGAGCACACGCTCTAACCACTGAACCATCCTGCCACCTGTTGGCAGCTCAGTTTGGAGGCAGCTCACTCGCCCATGTGGGAATCAAATCAGGGACCCTGTTGCTCAGAGCTCGTGCTCTTAACCAACTGAGCCACTTCGCCAGCCCAATATTAGTTCTTATCTAGGCACTGTGCAAAGGACATTTTTTTTCAAAGACTTAATATATGGTAAAACATAAAACTAAAGTTGTTACAGAAAAATTTAATTATTCAATTTAAACTGTGCTTAAAAGAATTTATAATAGAGCTAGAAAGCACGAGGTACAGGAAATCACATCTAGTCCTCTGTCACAAATGAGCCATGTGATTAAAGTAATTGTGACTTCAGGAAATCACCTAACTTTTCTAAGCCTAAGGTTCTTCATTTCAAAAATGAAGAAACTCGTCTGGAGAAGGGACTGTCATTCTAAGGTTTCTCAGATCTGTTTTCAAAAGCTGCTACAAGAAGGGGAAGGCAGACAGGAAAGCAACAGAGACGATGGAGGCTCAGGGTCTTCCATCCCTATATTCGTAGAGAAGCTCAACTTTTCTCTATTTTTATATACTGAGGTCTTAAAAACTATAAGTGACACTTGTAACAGTGACCTTGAGTTCCCAAGGTCAGGTTCATCACGTTCCTCATCCAGCCACAATCTCCAGCCTCTTACTTACCTGACAATGGGCTTTATTCTCCAAGTTCATTTGAAAACTGTGTAAGAAGGTATTTCCCCACAGAAGCTATGCTATCCAGTGGCAGTCGAATTCACAGATCAGTGGACAAAACCCCTGGAACTCCAAGAATTCAGAGTCCTAAATCTTCCTGCTACAGGTAACAAGGTTTCTCTGTGAAAAATGTCTTTAGAGTTCCACTGTAGGATTCCTGAATACATTTACCCAAGCTACAAGGAATGCGCCTAGCCCTGCTAAGCGGTTTTGTTAAGCAAATTCATTGAACAAATGTTGATTACAGATCATCCAGGAAGTGCCAGGCATCATCGCGCTTCGCTTCGCACAGGTATAAAGTGAGCAGCAGAGCAGAGCCCAGGCCCTCATGGAGTTCGCAGTCTTGCTTGTACTTCACACGCAGGCAGAAGCGCTGGAGCCACGGCCCTGGTTCTTCCGAGGTGGGTGATCACTGACAAGTCAAGTACCTTCCTGCCTTTCAGGAGGAACTCCCCTGCACAGTGGGTATAATAACTATAAACCTAATAATGTTTAGGGATTAAGTGACATAAAGTGTGTACAGTGCGTAGTGCCTTGCACAGAGTAAGACTGAATTAATGTTTGGGATTTGATGATATAAGAACAGTGATGTTTATAAATGGCAAGGTGAAGATGTTCTAAAATGCTGTTTCCTGCTCTAATCCAACCATTTTCCTTATTGGAGTGAGCTCAAAAACATTACCAAATATTTGAAACTACACTTATGATTTAATTCGGACAAGTTCAACTGTTTATATTCTAAAAAGGACTTTTGGCATCTCTGACTGGATTTTGAAATATTAGTATTATATTACTCTATAAAAAAAACCTTTAAGGGAAAACTGCTGAAGAAAACTATATATGCAGCCACATATAAATACTTTAAACAGGTCCTCGATATTTTAAGAGCCACGGAAATATAGTCAAGGACATAAATTCTTCATTCAAAAAGAAAGGGATAGATTTAAGTGAATTGAGATGCAAGTCACATATAAACATTAGCTGAACCATTCTCCAAAAGTGTCTCTGAATTGTCTAATCTGGGAGATTAAAGAAAACCTCACATAAGCACTGCTTTCTAGGACTCTGATTTACAGACTGTGACCATTCCCACGGCTGTGGTGCAAACTTCTTTAATGAAATCTGTAACATTATGCAAGCCGTTTCACCATTTAGATGTCAGTACCTCAAAAAAACAGAAGAACCAGTCCTTTGCGTTTCACAATCCAAGGACCTACCAGTAAAGTATAAAAGAAATGAGCAAAGTTATACAGTGATGAGAACTGCGGTTGCAGGAGCCTAAGCACTGACCGTCTTAATAAGTAATCCTTCTTGCTGTGATCATTTCCCCACCAAACATGATTGATGCAAATCTAAATTCAAAGACTACAAACCGAGCTTTTTTCTAAGAACAGTAGGTAGGTAACACACTTGTTTTGTTTTACCTTGGAGTAAGCTATAGGGAAAGTAATTAATCTAACTTGGTGTTGGATCATGTTTTTATCTATTGAAGACAAACAAAAACAACTCAAAATGATCCATTTATTCATATACAAGGCATTATCCAGTTAGAGTGAGAAGATGCGCAGGAAAGACAAATATCAGGTAGCAAACGATAATAATAAAAAACAAGACAGGCTGTAAGTATTATAAGAGTTCAGCACGTCCCCCACTTACAGAGCACCTGAAGGCGACTTCTGGAGAGAAAGGACATAAGCAGAACCTTAAAGGATAGATAAGATTTAGACTGGGGAAGTTGCACACGGGGGAAGAGTGAAATGGTATGAAAAAAGGAACAGGGGTGGGAAATCTCGGGCAATATTTAGAATGACATTAAGCAATTACCTAGAAATCGCTATTGCCTGATTTGTCTCTAACAAGTATCTTTAATTCCTGACATCTTGCCATGTGCCAATTCTTGTTCATTCCAGCTCTATAATTTATCTAGTAATTGACTATTTCTTTTCCCACTTAGTTTGAACCCTCAATACTATTTGCTCGGATGATGTTAACAGTGTTCTAACTCTTCTCACTACCACCAGTATTTCCTTCCTTCCAGAAGGAGATGCTTAGAACTTATCTAGTTTAGAATCCCTTATACTTTTTAGTGTCAAACTTTTTTCCAAATAAATCCTTAAATAGAACATCAACAGAGTTAAAGATAATGATTAGAGGAGACACTCCAATTTAACTTACTCTGAACAACAAAAATGTTCAGATGGGTTTTAAAGTGTAAAAAAGACTTGAATTGGCCAGACTTTTTTTGAAAGTATGTATTTTATTAGTAGATAAAACAGAGCAAAATTCTTTGCCAACTTAAATGTAATAACTAAGAGCAAGTGGTGAATACTGAAAGGCAAATCACTTACAGATTCTCTCTGGTTGTTCAGACCCAAAGGCAATATTTCTGAGATGACTGCCAGGATTAGTCAATTAATTTGGGCTACTCCTTCTAGATAATAAGAAAATATAGACTCTCGAAAGCTACAGACATGGCATTGCTCTCCAATGCTAATGTATCTTCGTCTTGTTAATATCTGTTTTAAATTATGGATCGCAGGAAGACATATTGGGGAATATCTTATTTCACAGATTCTAAGATGCACACTTTTTTCCTATTATAATATGTACCTGAAACAGGAATGTGTCTTAACAATCAATGAAGCCTTAAAACCACTGGTGGCCATGAGCAGTCATTGTTACCATGGGTCATATTTGTGTTCTAGTGAACACAAATACAAAGCTTGGAAAATGAATGTCAACAACTCAGAAGAAAATCTTGGAAACAGTTAATGGAACGCCATTTAATCCCTCAGAACCAAGATTGTTGGGTTAAAAATAACTAACTTTACACATTAATAACTACAAAGTTGGTTTAAAAGCCTACTACCACTGGGTTTTTACTCTTTTATACATTATTTTAAGAAATGTTGCATCAAATGCCCTGATGGCACAGAAAATGATACTCATGGAAAAACACGGCCTCAGCATGCAGAGCAAGTTATCTGGGAGGATATGAAAAAGGTTCAGGAATACTTAACCAATTTAATTATATTCCTTTTTAGGTATGCACCTGTTCAATATAAGATTAAAAACTTTCTCTAGCTAAATTTCAATGGTCTGTTCCAACAAGGGGAGAAAAAAATCTAAGTCATAGGAAAACTAAGTGTAAAAAATACTTAGTACTAAAAAAATTTAGGGCCAGCCGAGTGGCGTGATGGTTAAGAACTGGCTGGGACGCCACAGGGCCCCAGTTTGGATCCCACATATGAGGGCCAGTGACACTGCCATCCACAGCTAAGATGCTGAACAACAGCTCAACCTGGAGCTGGGCTGCCATGAGTCGCTGGCGATG